CAAGTCTCGCGCCTAATCTCGTGCTCTCGCGAGACTAGGCCACTCCGTGAACAAGATGGACTGATAGTCATCGAAAATTTATAGGTTAGAACTCTTATCCTTCAGAAACTTGTCTCTGATGAAAGAATTCTCCAGTAACTTAATAATATATTTTCCTTATTTCAAAGCCATGCTTCAGGTTCTAACGTCGTGTGCTTTTGTGAAGATTGTAGCTTCTTCTCAACGCATGTTTTATAAGGTTAAAGAGTTCGTGCAGTAAACTCCAACTCAGCTGAACACTAAACCCCGTTTAAAAGAAGTACTTGTTTTGACGGTTATAAGCAGTGTATGTTTTTCTTGTTGTCATGGTTTTTTCCTGTGTATTTGTGCTCATGCGAGCCAGGTGCCTGACGTAAAGAATAAATATTGAGAGTACTCACCACTCAGGTGCGTGCCTCAGCAATCCAGCCTCCGTGCCGGGATTGTTTACTCAGTAAAGGTTAACTTCAAACCCACGTCATTACTCGTCATGGAGGTTTATTCTCTATTCACCTGAAATACAGGGATCAAAGATAGCACGAAAGCCGCGGGTGGGAATACATATTACATACAATATACAATAATACAATAATGTGTACGTACATTTTTAAAAATACAATAATGTAATAGTAGAATCCAAGTATATACATAGTTGCCGAGGTAATACATGAATAGGGATATGACACAGATGTAGTGTAGTGTAGATGTAGTGTGTTAAACAGAATATGGATCCCAAGGGATTTCCATACTTTGGCTACTGATGACCCAAGGTTGATGAGAAGGTTATTGTTACTGGGGCTACTTTAGAATCTCCCTAGTCTCTTTGTTGATTGATGTGTCGCTACACCAACGGACATGCATTTTTTTTTAAATCACGTCATCTGGCTTAGGTTTACGGACAGAGCGCTGACGTCTTCAGCTGTGACACGGAAGTAAGAAAAGTTAAATATCCCCGTGTACACGCTGTACTGTTTCTCTTGAATATTTTTTTATATTCCAACATCTAATCACAAGATGTGGTAACGGCATATTGAGGCTGCCACCAACACAAGGAGACATTTATTTTCACCTGAGCGAAGTGAGGAAAGTCGTGTGAAGTGCCTTTCTTAAGGGCACAAGATCGAACCCTTGGTTCCGAGTCGAGCACTCTGCAGCTACGCCACACGCCCCCACTTGAACTCTGTTTGGATACCATCGACACGGCTGGTGCACTGACACAATAGTTAGACTGTCTCGTCATTCCGATGGACTCGGAAGCTCATGTTTCCTTCATTATTTTCTCTGTGGCTCCTGGCGCCACCAAGTACCTGGCAGCTGGCGTACTCAATGACAATGATCGATGTTCAAAAGGAAGACGTTTTCGAGCAGAATCAGTTACAGAATAGCCTGGAAGCCAGACTCTCAGACTCTGAGAGCTTTTATGGGCTATTTTCTGATTGCATATAGACAACATAGCCGGCCTGGCTAAATTATCCCCGTTTATTTTAGAACTGGGCTAATCAGAAAACAGCCGAAGACCACCAAACCCCCAGTTCTATAAGCCTGCTACGGAGGCTAATCAGAAAACAGCCGAAGACCACCAAACCCCCAGTTCTGTAAGCCAGCCACGGAGGCTAATTAGAAAACAGCCGAAGACCACCAAACCCCCAGTTCTGTAAGCCAGCCACGGAGGCTAGACACAAGGTTTACTGCGTCAATCTGTAAGTCGTGACTGGGCGTGGCGTGCTTAAGCAAGGTTTGGTGCACAGACTATAAATTCCCAGTATCACCTGCCGACGGCAGATCCGCGTGTGGACAGGTGTGCAGCACAGGTGAGTGTCTGTTTCCTTCTTCTCGTGGTGTTTTAACCCAATGTAACACATTTCGAGATGTGTGTTTTATCCAGAACCATGCTTTATCAAAAACCGTGCTTTATCCAGAACTGTGCTTTATCCAGAACCATGCTTTATCAAAAACCGTGCTTTATCCGGAACCATGATGAGGCACGGTTCTGGAAAGACCACGCGTATCCAGAATCTACGTTCGCGGAGACTAACCAAAACCGTACCTCATCCCAATCCTATTACCCATTCAGACCGGGAACTAGACACTCATGGTTCTGGATAAAAGTATAGTGCGTATAACGCCAAATAAAAATATTGGTCTCATCTTTATATTTGAGTTGAACCATTTTTACTCATGTCAATGGTTATTAGGCCAAGGGCTTAATTACTTTATAGGGGCTAGTATAAAATGGCTTTGCAAGCACTCAATAAGTATAAAATAATGCACGTTCCCTGTAATATACTAATTTGTTGAGTAATATGCCTTTGTGTACTGTTACAGTGAGTACGTACTGTTATTGGTTCACTGCACACCGAAGATAGGTGTTCAAGTCAAGTCAAGTCAAAGCCTTTATTTTCCTTCGAATGCTTGTTCGGCGCAAGGCCGCTTTTCAACAAGGTCGAAGTTGAGGGGAGGGGTCACGGATAAGAACCAAATCAATACAAACATAAATAATAAGTAATTAAATCAATACAATAAGTAAGTAAATAAGTTCACAAATAAATCATTAGGTTCGTAGCCAATTCAAGTCCATGGTGAGTCCCAGTTATGTCTGTTCCATAAGTGACTTGAAGGTATGGATGGATGGTGCTGCCCTAATGTGGGGCTGGATGTTATTCCATACCACTGAGCCGGAGTAAGCCAAGCTTCTTCTGTAAGCTTCCAAGTGCGGCCTCGGAGGGATGAGACAGTCAGTAGAAG